GGCCCAACAAAATAAAAGGAATTCCTGAAAGACAGAACAGAGAAAATCGAGGAAACAAACATTTTTAAATAATAAAAAATTTTCTCTTCCTAAACAAAGATAAAACTTCCATACTGAAAAATCTTGAGAAGTGACTGAAAACACTGACTTAACCACAATTTGAAGTCAATTCAACAACTCTGTTATACATATAAAAAATAAACTGAGAAGGGTGGGTAGTCCGATGGAAAATTAACAAAAAGTATTCATGTTAACAATATTTAGAGATACGAAACATCAAAAGGATCAATTAAAATAGTTATTCCATAGAGTGGGTAGTTTGGGGAACTGATTTTTCCTAGATCAATTTTATTACAACTATTTGACTTTTGTAATTCTGTGTAATTCTGATGGAAAATAAAAAGTTACATAGTAAGTGTCCTATGTTGCTGTTGTTAAGTGCCGTCAAGTCACTTCCGATCCATAGCGACCCTGTACAGAGTTTCCGAGGAGCAGTTGGTGAGCTTGAACTGCCAACCTTGCAGTTCAAACGGCTTTGCAGTCTGGCGCATTAACCCACAGCACCACAACAAGACTCCTATACTCTGGCACAAAAATCTAGCTCAAAAGTCATGCTAGTTAATTTTTTATAAACTAGGAAAATTGGGAAGGTTTTGCTTAATAACAAAGCATGATTTATTTAATTTTGGGACACAATCCACAATTTGCTAAGAACTATTAGCAATGCCAATTTAAAAAAACTTATCAGGGCAAGACTTTCTGTTGACAATGTACTCTAGTATCCAGCTTAAATGTAGCTGTTAACAGTGACAGAAAGCCTTAAATTACTGGGAGATTCCATAGGGATTATGAACATAGTACTAAATAGTTGTAATTCTTTCAAATAAGCCATACCACTGTCTTGAATATGCCATAAATTATCACTATTGTAAATACTGTACCTTGGGTCTTTTGGGCCACAGCAATCCCTTCCACTACAAGTATTGTTATTAACAACACTAGAGAAATAAACAGAAAACAAAGTTAAAAAACTGAATCTACAGTGCAGTCTACTAAATTTAAAAGGAAAATCAGGTGACAGTAAAAGATAAACCCAGTATTTCTTACTAACTTTAATTCTCACATCTTTAAGAAGTAATTCTATTTACCCTCACACTTAGAACTCTAAGAAAGATTTGATGATTTTGTTCCCATTTAAGTAAGTACCAATGATACATAGCATTTAGAGCATTTTCCAATGTTTGATATATTTTTAAAAAACACTTATGGGGAGAGGAGAGGCAATAAACTTTGTTGGTTCTAACTATTCCAATATTTACTGTATTCCATACTCCAGACTGTAGAAGTATGGTGTTGGAGGAGAATATTGAAAGTGCCATGGACTGCCAAAAAGAACAAACAGTGTTGTTGGAAGAAGTACAGCCGGAGTCTCTGCTCCTTGGAGGTCAGAATGGCCAAAGTTCATCTCTCATACTCTGGACATATTATCATGAGGTACCAGTCAGTGAAGAAGGATATCATGTTTGGTAAAGTGGAGGGTCAGAGAAAAAGAGGAAGACTCCTAAGGAGATGGTTTGGCACAGTGGTGGCAGTGATGGACTCAGCTGTAGCAACGATAGTGAGGCTGGCCCAGGACTGGGCAGTGTTTTATTCTGTTGTGCACAGGATCGCTATGAGTTGGTATTGACTCAATTGCACCTAACAACAACAGCAACAACATACCTGAACATGTGTTATGGCTAGTTCTGCAATGTATTATGCCAGTGTATCTGACTTGTTCATAAAGACAGAAGAGGACAAGCAGTCTCCTAAAAATCAATTCAAGATGTTTTATAGTTTGTTCAGTAATATGCTATGCTGTTATAAAATCTAGCCATATTTGGAAAGCGAAACTTTCTTTCAAGCTGTCATCAATGAACATTTCTGAGATTCAATCAACAACATATTGAATTGTTTCGTGTATGTGTTTTAAAGATTTCTTTAAACATTTTATTTTTATGAATAGCACACTGGCAACTTTCACCGCCCCTTTCAATGTAACCATACCACCCTTCTGCCCCTAATTTCTGTATAAACCTACTAGATAGCAGATGCTATCTAATTAATGCAAATCCTAAATACTGACTCAAACAGATTAAGAAACATAGCTCAATGGTTAAAGTACAGACTTTAAGAGTTAGATGAATCTAGGTTTGTGTTTCAGTTTTGCCTTCACCAGTTAGTAAGGCCTTTTCTACTCAGTTCAATGGCACTTAACAACATAGCAGGATCTGGGGGAATAATACAGTATGCTTAGCATGCGGCAAGGAATGGTGGTATATAAAGGTAGGCTAGAGATCTGATTGTACTGATTATCTACTACACAAAGACACCAATTGTAGTGCCTTGAATTTACTTCATGTGGTTTTTCTATTCTACATCTTAATTCCCACCAAGTGGTTGGGCAGGACCTTGCAAATAAGGTATACAGAACTCTTTTAATTCTGGGATTGGTTAGTTCTGTCATCCCACTAAGTTTAAAAAGAGCCATCGCAGAAGAGATGATCCCAGGGCCATTCAAGAAGAAGACTATGAGTGGAGTATGAGATCCCTACCTAGAAAAAAAGCAGAGACACAAAGCAGCTTTGGGTTCCATGCCCATGGGCCGAGTAAAGCTGAGTGCCCTGACTGTCTACAGGCTGATGTTGAGTTTGATTCTCCTTCTCCCTTTTGAGGCCAGAAGAAATAAGACATGGTCCCCACAGAGTTTTTGCACCAATGGACATAGATTGCTGTTGCTGTTAAGTGCAGTCAAGTCAGTTCCAACTCACAGTGACCTTGTACAGGGTTTCCCAGGAGCAGCTGGTAGGTTTGAACTGCCGACCTTGTGGTTCGCAGTCAAGTGCTGATCCTACCACACCAGAAGTCCAGGTACAAAGATAATTCTTGTCATTCAGTTGTTTACATCCTTATAATCTAATTATTGGGTCTCTTCATCTTTCGTTTCTTGTATCTTTGCTTATTTTTACCTCTCAACATCTATCTTCACTCATGAACTCTAAATTCCACCCCCACCCCCTACTTTCTGTTTGCTGCTGTTGTTGCTGGTGGTTCTGCAGGTTCTGCTGGATAAACATTGGAGTGCTAACCATCAAACCCACCAGTAACAGTTCTAACCCACCAGGCACTCCTCAGAAGAAAGATGAGGATTTTCTGTTAAGACTGTTTCCTGTTAAGACTGAGTGTCTCGGAAAATGTACACAGGGTTGCTTGGAACGGACTTGATGGGAGCAGGTTTAGTTTTGGTTTTTGGTAGTACTGGAGATCTTATGTTACAGAGGAACAATCCTTCCTCCATTCTCTTTACATCTTTAAACTGGATCTGAGTTAGAGGAATGGAGTCTTAAAACATTCTTTGAAACAAATGATTTATGATCCAAATGAAAACCCAGGGTAATATTAGCTGTTTAATAATTCAGAAAATAACACTGTATCAATTTATCATGTTAGAGAATGCTACTTCCCAAGGCATACCATTCAGAGGATAAACAACTGGTCAAACATTTTTTGCTCAACAAACCTTTGTTCCTGAATCACAGTCCTAACTACTTACCCATTTTCACATTTATAATTCACAGTATACACACAAGTATCTATCTACTAACTCTAGCAAACCAAGCAAAGAAAAAAAATCTACAAATGAATTCAAGAGAGCAATAGTGAAACTATAACAAAATGATGAATTATGCAAGGAGAAGTATACTATATAATAACCAATTCAAATTTTATTGTGTAAAATATCTATCAAATTTGCATATATAATACACAAATGAGATAGATCATGTTAGAAATAAAGTTCCAAGGCAAATAAAGGCATTATATTCTTTCCTACTTATAGGGCTGCTCACAATTTTGTCTTCCCAGATAGTTAAATAATTCACAGCCACATCAACCAAATGAACTGTGCCACTGAATATAAAAATGATATATAAAGAATTAAACAAATCTACAAAAGCAACTAGGGAGAGAAATCTTTAGTGATATACTTTTTGGTGATATAGTTCTGATAATTGTTGTTGTGGTTAAGCACTGGTGAGTCGGTTCTGACTCACAGCGACCCTGTATAGGGTTTGCAAGGAGCAGCTGGTGGATATGAATGGCCACTTTGTGGTTAGAATTAACCTTGAGGTCCAGTGTTTACCCTAGGGTGCCACACCAGGACTCCCGTTCTGATTATTAATCATTCTTAATTCTAAAACACTGCTTCCCTGGGTTGTGTGATGGTATTTTTGCAAATGATTTGCATTAAATCAGGCTTTTAATAAACCCCATTACTGCCCAACACTGGAATCATTTACTACATAAAGCAGTCCTATATGGTGCTTGTTCTGTCCTTAGTCCCAATCGATGTGACACTGTTGTCTTTCACTAAAACGATTAATGAGTTTTCAGCTCCAAAATCAGGCATTAATTTAAGAAAAAAGCCACACCAAAATAAAACTTCTAGACTCCATAATCTTACAATTTAGCTATAAAAAGAACTGCTTGTGATTTGATGCTTGAAAAAGGTAGTACTTACCACTTACGTCTTTACTTCTGGTTCTGGAATTTAGTGTACGCCTTGTAGTGACCTGTGTAGGATCTGACTCAAAATGAGGGCTTAGATGGTAAGACAGGTGCTATTCAAGTGTGAGACAAATCCACAAAACCACTCCCCCTTTATTCCACCTCCCCTATTTACTCTGATAGCGTAGTGGTTACGAATCGGGCTGCAAACCTTAAGGTCAACGGTTCGAAACTACCAGCTGCTCCGCGGGAGAAAGATGAGGCTTTCTACTCCCGTAAAGATTTACACCCTCGGAAACCCTGTACAGGGTCGCTATGGGTTGGAACCGACTCGACGGCACATAACAACAACAATATTTACTCTGAATCACTGTCATTTTAGCTCTAAACAGAGAATCTTATCACCAGGCCTTCCAGGGGCCCTTTAAACACTGTGAAAATCAAGGTCCCGTTTATTCTTTCTATTATTCTTTTAATATTAATAGTGGGCCACTATGACCAACACAATAAATACTGGGGCAAAAAATTATTATTTATAAACTTAAGTTTTAAAATACCTAGAAATGTCAAGAGAACTGGAGAAAACATTACATTTATTATGAGGGAGAAAAAAATAAACAAGTAAATAAATGTCTCCAATAACATGTTTCTGGATAATAAAATTCAATACTATAAAGGAAATAAAAATCTTACTAATAAACCATACACTTAATGATACGTGGCACTACAGGATAAGCATTGGACTGGCAAACCACAAGGTCGGCAGTTGAAACACACCAGTTGCTCCTCGGAAAGCCTGTACAGGTTCACTGTATGAGTAGGAATCAACTCAATGGCACTTAACAACCACCACAACAACAAAAACTTTGGTAAGATTCGTAAAAAATAAATAAATAAATAAATAAATAAATAAATGAAAATACACACAAAGATAAAATACATATTTATAAAGATAATAGTAACTCAAACTTAGTAATGACATAGGACTAAAGAAATGGGTCTGTTCACAAACATCCACCACCTACTGTATAGACTGGAATCCTGGTATGGTGAAGTAGGATAAGCAACGGACTGCTAGCCATAAGGTTGGCAGTTCAAACCCACCAGCTGCTCCTTGGAAATCCTGTAACAGGGTAGCTATGAGTCAGAACTGACTTGGTGACTCTCAACAACAAACACCACTGTATAGACATGCGAGGTAGTGAGTCAGTCCTTGGGGAGAATAACTATTAGAGTTTAAACTCTAAGCACTTGGTTTATGGAAGACTACAGGTTACAGAGGGAGCTCCAACTTCATTTTGAGTCTGGATATAAATTCAATCTCCACTGAATTCATTCTGACCATTAATCAGCAATGTTAAAAAATACAGCCCTGTGGCAGATTGTGTTTCAAAATGGATTGATTATAGGATTCCCCTGGGGGCAGTCTTGCTCTTAGGGACTTGCCTGGAAGTGTCCTTAATGAAAACCTGGGTTCCAGCTCCATGTGGTCTTGAGTTATATCCCAAACAAGGGAGTCAGAAAGCTCCAATACGAATCTTGTAACTTTTCTAATCTGCAATAGTCAATTTATCCCAATCATGGCCCCTTTCCTATGTCTGTAACCCAGCCAGCAACAGCGTTGAATTGAACTGCTACCAATCATGACTTTGTGACAAATTTTCTTAATTTCCTGTGTTCTGTAATTAACCATAGAGTCCTGGTATGGCACTGAAGAATAAACACTGGAACGCAACATTGGTTTCAGCTGCAAGTTTGGCAGTTCAAACGCCTTGGGAACCCTATACAAAGTCGCTATGCATCAGAACAGACTCTGAGGCACTTAATAACAGTGCTTAATATTAGCAACACGGCTATGAACACTTTGAATACCAGTATGGCCTCTTGCTGATGGTAGGTCTTCCACAAGGGAATGATTTGTGTTTATTTAGTTACTTAGTTAAGATTAAATAAAGGGCTTTTTGTGCTGGTAGTCCTCCTGCAAACATGGTGAACATTCCAAAAACCCACTGGACTTTCTATAAGAAATGTGGCAAGCACCAATCCCACAGAGTGACACAGTACAAGAAGGGCAAATATTCTCTGTATGCCCCAGGAAAAGTGGCGTTATGACAGAAAGCAGAGTGGATATGCTGGACAAACTAAGCCAATGTTCTGGAAGAAGGCTAAAACTACAAAGAAGACTGTGTTGAGGCTTGAATGTGTTGAGCAAAACTTCATATCTAATAGAATGTTGGCTATTAACATATGCAAGCATTTTGAAATGGGAGAAGATGAGATGATGAGATGAAAAAGGGCCAGATGATCCAGTTCCAGGCTTCATCTTGTTTTATTATTAAAACAATAAAATCTTGATGTTATGTTAAAAGAAAAAAGACTAAATAAAGGGGTCTCTCCGGTAGTGTAGTAGTTTCGAATCGGGCTGCAAACCGCAAGGTCAGTAGTTCATAACTACCAGCTGTTCTGTGGGAGAAAGATGAGGCTTTCCGCTCCCGTAAAGATTTACACCCTCAGAAACCCTGTACAGGGTCACTATGAGTTGGAACTGACTCCATAGCACATAACTACCACCATAAAGTATCTGTAAATTTGTTGGATATTTTCCCCCCTAGAACATTTATTCACAAGGAGCTAACTGATAGGGAAGCAAAAGCTCAGAAACAGACTCACATATATTAAAAAATATATTGTAAGTGTTGGATTTAAAATCCTTGAAAATGGGATGAATTTAATAACGGGTTGTGGAATAACTTATTAATTATTTGGGGAAAATGCATTCTTACTTTAAGCTAAATATAAAAATGAATAACAGATTGAGAATAATTGGAAGTAAAAAGTGGGGTGGGGTGAATTATATATAGACTTTTGGGTGAAGAACACCATCAAACTCACTAAAAACAGAAATAGATAAAAACTACAAGTAACTGTACAACGAGAATATGGCATCAGAAAAAAATGGGTCATACTTTATTAATAGAGTTTCTGAGAAGCAGTTGGTGGATTTGAACTGCCAACTTTGTGTTTCACAGTCCAGTGCTAATCCTACAGCACCACACCATGAGTTTAACACTATTATTTAAATAAATGAATGGAATGTGGGTTAATGCGCTGGACTGCAGTCATTTGAACTTCAAAGTGGAAGGTTGAAACTCACCAGCCACTCCCTGGATACCCTATGTAGGGTTCACTATGGGTCAGACAGACTCAACAGCACTCAACAACAACTGTTAAAAAATGCAAACAATGGCCAGGCTACAGGACACTGATATACACAGCCATTGCTACTGCATTGTAAATTCATAGGCTCTTCTGGAGAGACATCTGGTAATATGTTATCCAAAACAAAAGTAGGCAAATTTCACCCAGAAATTTTACTTCTAGGTTTGAGAGATGGGCAACTAGAACAGAAGTTCTCAAATTGTTATGTATCATAATCTCCTGGGAGATTTGTTAGTACAGATTTAGGGTGGAGGTAGCTCCAGAGATTATGATATAATAGGTTTGATAAATTACATTTTAACAGGTTCCACTATGATACTTACTCAGTCTGTATGCTGAGCAAATAATTCGAGAAACTGGATTATATGAAGAGTGTGACATCAGGATGGGAGGAAGACTCACTCATTAACAACCTGCCATATGCAGATTATAACAACCTCAACCTGTTGAAAGCCAAGAGGATTTAAACTAGTTACTGATGAAGATCAAAGACCACAGCCTTCCATATGGGTTGCACCTAAATTAAAGAAAACATTTTACCAATAAACAACATCAAGATAAATGGAAAAAAGATTGAAGTTGTCGAAGACTTCATTTTGCTTGGATTCACAATCAAGAAATCTAACGATAATGTATTGCATTAGGCAAATCTGCTGCACAAACCTCTTTAAAGCATTCAAGAGCAATTATGTGGATTTGACTACTAAGGTGCTGATGACTAAGGTGCACCTGACTCAAGCCAGGGTATTTTCAATAGCCTCATATGTATGTGAAAGTTAGACAATGAACAAGGAAGAGTATAGATTTTATGCATTTGAGTTATGGTGATGGACAAGAATATTAAAACTACCATGGGCTGTCAGAAGAACAAACAAATCTGTGGCCACACCTTTTCTCTCATACTTCGGACACACTATCAGGAGGGACCAGTCCCTGGAGAAAGACCTCATGCTTGGTAAAGTGGAAGGTTAGCAAAAAAGGAGACTCACAATGAGATAGATTGGCACAGTGGCAGCAGCAAAGAGCTCCAGCTTTTCTTCCTTCAGCGTCTATGGGCTCAGTAGTCCCTGGAGTTGTTGACATTAATCATTCCTTGGACACTACGAGTTTCACAGTGCTGGGACCCCAGGTCCAAAGGGCACACTCCACTTCTGAATCTTCTCTCTTGGTTGTAATGGATCCCCCTTTCTCTACTTATACCTTTCTCCTGTATCTCTTTCTTGTAAGAGAAGTATTGCATGCCACACCCTTGGGGATCTAATCACAGTCATAGTGGGATTAAGGGTGGTATGCTTTTGTTGTGAAGTGCCATCGAGTCATTCCAACTCATAGTGACCCTGTATAGGGTTTCTGCAGTGTCTGCTGAGTTTGAACTCCTGACCTTGCGGTTCAAAGTCCAGTGCTGATCTTTTAGCGACACACCAGGAGTCACCCTTAAATCCTTTTGTTGGTTTATCACATCAGATCACATTATGGGAGCTCATCACTTATCTGCCAAACCACTGAAAATCATGTTCCAGCCAAATTAACAAACATTTTTAGGGAACACAATTCAATCTGTGATATCTTCCTAACTTTCAAGCAGTCTTTTACTGTTTAATACCACCTTGACATCTCCTAGGTGTGAAAGTTCTATAATCACACCATTTAGCCCGCTTTTGTATTTTAACATTGTCATCATTTACAAATCAATTTTGAAAAGTTTTATATGGATTAGTAACTAGCTGATGAAATCCTGTGTTCTATTTGTGTGTCCAGGTTGTTATCTAATGTTAATTCTCTGTCCAATGGACTCCCTTTAATTCTTATAAGATTACTCAGGTTTTCACAAATTCCCTTAATTTTTGTGTATCTGGGAATTTTCTAATGTCACCATAATATTTGAGGAACAATTTTGCTGGCTTTAGCATCCTTTTGTTTTTTTAATGTTTTATTGTGAATTATGTGATAGTTTACATGGGAGAACATTAGCTTTACATCCACCCTATCGTATATTCTATTCATTGCCATGGTTACAATCCCCTCCGTGCATCATCAACCAACCAAAGGGTATACCCAGTAAGCCTGCCTTTCCCGCCCCACCCCCCCGACCCCCGCACCCCCAGTCAGGTTATCAGCACAC